CTTGTTGTCCTCCACACTGGCATGCCCTTCACCTTGTAGAGGAGATGGAGAGCAGCCTCCTGGCCCTCTCCATTCTTCTCTAACCAGACTGTGGCCTGGGCTCCGTCCTCTACCCTTGGCCATTTCCTTGGCCTGCCGAGGATGAAGGAGACTTTGGGGGACTCTCTTAGGGCTCCATCGGTTTGCTCCCTGAGCTTATGGGTCACCACTGGCTATCCATTCCAGGCTGAGCCAACTATTCAGGGACTAGGAGGGAAGAATCAAAGGTCTCTCTACAGGACCATTTGGGTCTGAGATGAAACAGAGAGAAATAGTGCCATCAACCTAGGCCACCATGGTTCTCTGTGTCGATGATGCACTGCACAGCTCAGAGGTCCCATTCATGTCTTATGTATTGCAGATCTGTAGTTAAATTATGACAAGCTCCTGGCAATCAGCTATCTTACACTGATGAAGTCACTATATTACAACATCGTTTCAACAATTGGGAAGAAAATGTGTTGTGGAAAGGAAACTCTTTTCTACTTCACACAAAGGTGGTATATAGTTTGTGGTGGCCCTCTATTTGGGAAACCCACGAGTTTTGAGGGACTTTCTGCATTATGCCTGAAATAAATCTCATTCTGCAAGTTGTGCAAGACCCTGGGAATGTGGGACCAAAATGATTTCCAAATTTCACTGAGGATATGAAAAGGGCACCATAAGGATGTCATGACTGGCAGGGAAGCTGGGGGATCTGTAAGTAGGCATTTAAGCACTCAAACCTTGGCTTACTTTCTGTGGATGGCAATGGCTATAAGGCCCAGTGACCTTTCATACGAGGGGCATCAGAAGTTACAGGCATGAAAATGATGCTCACATGCTTTGGACTCTGGAATTTGGAGTTGTTTAAAAACTCTGACCCCATAATATACACAGAGCAGAGACCAGATTGCTCCATCCACCCCTGCAAATAGTAGTTCCATTTCATCTTTCTAGACATTCCAGAGCCACTAGAATAACAGTCTGCTCTTCAGAAGGGCCATTCAATAGCGATGGCCCTGCCTGCCCCTCTGGCTCTTCCCGTAAGAACACAAGCAGGAAGGCAGTGCTGGCAGTGAGAAAGTAAGGTCAGGAGCCAACCAGGCAGCTGCAAGGGCCACTGGGCGGTCTAGGTGTGGGATTTTACTCTGGGCAATAGATGACCCGGCTCAGCAGCCTGCAATGAGTCCCCTGGGGAGGTTACCAGGCGGCCAGGGGCTGTGGCTTTCCCTCACTGTGGCTGCAGAGAGTGCCTTCTCTTTTGGATGTTGCCCAGCTGACCAGTGGAAGGGCTGGGAGATGGTCGCTGAGGGCCTTGCCAACTCAGGTAGGTGTGGTTCTGGGCAGTTCACCTCCTAACATGGCCTGACAGTGCCTGGGAAGGGGACACTCACATGCTGCTTGTGTCTATCTTGGCTCTGTCCTTGGAGCCTGGAGTTCTCAGACCACCTCCAGGCAGCTTGGTTGGAAAGAAGTACCTTCCTTTCCCATCTGGGCACTGGATATGGCCCAGCCCGTTCTGTGGCCCCAGCTTCCAGACAGCTGGTCTCCCAGCTGGAGCACACAGAAGTGCCAGAGCAGCAGAAGCACTCATGCAACTGACTTTAGAGGGAGGCCCGGAGGGTGTGTGTGTGTGCGTGTGCGCTCGCGCGCGTGCTCGTGTGTTTGTCCCCTGAAAAAGCTGTTTCCTGCAGCCAAACATCTCAGCTCAAAGGAGTGCAAAGCAGATAAAAATAGATTTTAGTCAGAGCAGCAGACATGGGGAGGCAGGATAAGTTCCTCTTCTTGAAAAATGAGCACAAGCCTTGAGCTCCACCTGGGCTGTGGGCATTGGTCCCCAGCCTCTTTCCTCTCCTCAGCCATGCAGTGGCAGTCCTAGACCAATGTTCTCATCTGCACCCTAACTCAAGGAAGGACAGGGCCTTGTGTCAAGAGGAAGGTGTCCATTGTCATTTAATAGAGAACTGTTTGTCAAGCAAAGGTACCTGGCCAGGTATAACAACAGTCAGGTTTACTGTTCTCACGTGATCATGGTAATGATAGTAGTACTAACTATTGAGTGCTGGCTGTGTACTGGGAACTGTTACATGCATTATTTCACTTAATTCTCACAGCAAAAGTTTAAGAGTTACAATGTCATGGTCAGTTTTGGCTGCCATAACAAAATATGGTAGACTGGGAGGGATGGGGTTCATAACAATAGAAATTATTTCTCACAGCTCCAGAGGCTGAAAGTCCTGGGCCAGAGCTCCATCATGGTCATGTTCTGGTGAGGGCCTCTTCTGGGTTGAAGACTGCTGGTATCTCACATGGGGAAGGGCTTGAAAGAGAGTGGGGGTCTGGGGGCACTCTCTTGACCTCAAGACCCTCATAATCAATTTCCAAAGGTCCTATCTCCTAATATCATCACATGCGGTTTAGGTATTCAACTAATCAATTTTAGAGAGACATAAACATTCAGTCTACTGCCTACTATTAGCTCTGTTTTCCAGGCAGGAAACTGAAGCTGTAGCACAATAGCTTGTTGGAAGTGACCTAGCTGGTCTGTAGCCATGTGAGGACCCCAGCTCAGGTCTGTCCAACCATAAAGCCCATGTGCTTAGCCACAGGCAAGTGTGAGCAATAGACCCGCTTATGGTGCTTGTGAGCATGCAGCAGAGATAGGAAGTTGCCCAGCTAGGGACTTGGGGAAGAGAGCAGAGTGAGAGACAGGTGTTGTTGGCTCAGAGAGAAGTTCAGCATATGACATGTTCAATACTAGAAATAGGGGGCTGGGGATTTAGCTCAGCGGCAAAGCGCCTGCCTGGCAAGCGCAAGGTTGTGAGTTCGGTTCCCGGTACCGGAGAAAAACCAAAAAA